CAACTATTATCATTGCTTAAAATACCCTCAAATTAATATGCCTACAAAGCAGTACCCCGAGGTAACTACTCGGTTGGTGTCATTCTAAATATTAAGGTAGCCTTTAATAATAACGTCCTGGGTACCGTCTTGCCCTAGGGCAAAGCTCTTTTAAGCTTTCTATACATTCAGTATAGGCGCGTCCAGAGTAAAAGCTCTCTCTGCCCATCTCTGCTGTAATGGGTCAGAGAGAGTGCTCTTTCGTCACTACTTTGGGTCGTTGTCTTCAAAAGGGGGAGGGGGACTTCATGGCATTTCTCAAGATAATACTTCATAGCAATAAATCCTGAATTTTCGATAATATGGATTGAAATTTCGGTACGGATAGTCCATACCAGAGGGCGAAATATTAAAAAAAACTATTTTTCAAAAATATCACTGTGACCATTTGATTTAAAAATAACAATTTATACTTATAAATTTAAAAAATTCTTCACAGATGGGTTATGCGAATATCAAACAAGTGGGACGTGGACTACACCTCCGGCAATTTGCGCGCGCTTTTGTCGTCGAAGATGAGAATCACACGCGTATAGCTTTTGTCTCGGTCGATGTGGGCATGATGGGCTATGGCGTAAAAAGAGATGTGAGNCCACACGCGAATAGCTTTCGTCTCGGTCGATGTGGGCATGATGGGCTATGGCGTAAAAAGAGAGGTGAGCTACATATTTATATACTATAGTGATTAAATATAGTACATACGTACATATGTATGTATATAGCAAATTTCACATCTAATGCGGTTTTCATATTTCACCCACTCAAGGTTGTAAAACGCTTGCAGGCGCGATATGGAAATATTTACACGGCTGATAATGTCGTCATCAGCGGGACACACACTCACGGCGGTCCTGGAGGCTTCCTCATGCATCTACTTTATGATATATCGATTTTAGGCTTTGTGCCACAGACTTTTGAAGCGCTAGTGCAGGGCTGTTACTTGGTTGGTCATTTTTCTTTTTTATGAACGTAGCTATGTAAAAATAATGTAAAGAGTCTATTTCGCAGAGCATTAAACGCGCCACCGACAATATGGTAGAAGGAAAGATATTCCTTTCGAGAGCCACAATATTAAATGTGAATATCAATCGCTCACCCACCTCGTATCTGCGCAATCCCGAGGAGGAGCGTGCACAATTCGAGCACGATGTGGATAAGGAATTGACGCAGTTGCGCTTTGTGGATGCGGACAGTAATTTGATAGGCGCCTTCAACTGGTACGCTGTGCATGCGACATCGATGAATAATACCAACAAACTGGTCACCTCCGATAATATGGGCTACGCGGCTTTACTTTTAGAGAAGGAATACAATACAAATAAAGTGCCAGGCAAGGTAAAATTTATTAGAGATATTTCAAAGTTCTCAACATGAAATAAGCTCCTGACTACATCGAGTCCTAACCGCTAAAATGCAGAAATTTTCATAGAGCATTTAGATGCATTTCTGTATCAAAAATAAAATTTTGAAAAAATGTCGCTTACATATTTTAGGCGGGTAGCTAGGGCTCGATATGTATACATGTATGTACATACATTGGAGATTCTTCGCCAGAACTTTTCGCCCTCCCGCTCACTATAACGCAATGCTATCGATAAATTCTACTAGGAGCCCTTTTGTGGTGTCTGATGGCACACTCAAACTTCTTTAAGACTTTATTGTAGGCAATCCTAGAGTCGTTTCGCTTCGCCTTTCCTTTAGATTTCACCATCCTTAACCCAACCTTCTTATAAGGTCATGTTTGATAGTACTGTTTCGTTTATACTAAATAATATATTAAATTCACAATAAAAAAAACTGTCTTTCAATATATCGATGGCTGAGTGGGGAAGATCGGACCTATCTCGGCCGCCAGTTCAAAAACGCCTGATATCAGAAAATTTTTTAACAACGCCCTACTTCAGAATTTTGTTGAGGAACGCCCTTTTTTAGAATTTGATTGAAAAATCACCTTATATACATATGTGCGTAAGGAGTACTGTCTTAAAATCCCCCTTGCCAATATTTAATTGCTTTTAATTAATATGACTTTTAAGTTAAGGTGTGTGAGTAAACGTGTTAGATTACTGCGTGTGGTGCTACGGGGCGTATACGTTACATACGCAACTACGGGTATATGAGCACGAAATGTTACTTTTAACCGACTTCAAAAAAGGGAAGGAGAAAGGTTATCAATTCGAGGGAATATATATAATTATATTTTTTTTCATGTATTGTTGTTACCTCATAACTTTGGGCCACGTTATCCGATTTCTATAATTCTTTTTTAAAGGAATGGTGGTACCTCACAAGATGGTCCCATACTTATTTGGTTTTGATCCGATCATTGGATCATGAAGACATTAACAGTACTCCAAAATGTTTATATAATAATTGAAGTCGGTTGTGTTTGTTGCTTAAAGATTACTAGTTACTTTTTTTAATATGTATTTTTTAAGTTTTCATTTAAAAACAATTTCGCGATGGAATCTGGTTCTGAAGATAATGCATTTACTAAGATAGGCGCAACACCATTTTCGACCAAAACACGTTTTTGTATCATTTATGACCCCATTAAGGTTTGTTTTTTTTTTTAAATCAATAAAGTAGGGCTAACAACTTGTTGCATTAAAATTTAACAATTTTGGTGGATTTCTCCATATGTTTTAAATAATATATGTAAGTGTATAGTCCGCGTTGGTATGGTGAAAAAAGGTTAAGATCCGCCAATAAAAAATGATTAAAGAAAACTACAAACACCTGCTTAATGATTCCCTTAAACTGAAATCACACACATTTATTTTTTCAGGGTAAATTCATAGCCGCCTTCTGTTCCTCTAATTTGGGCGATGCTTCGCCGAATATCATGGGGCCGAGATGCTCGCTTAGTGGTAATGACTGTGATCTACTCACTTCAAAGTGCCCTGCCAAAGAAGGTGAATGCTTTGCATCTGGTCCTGGCCGTGATATGTTTGAGAGCACAGAAATTATAGCCACACGTTTGGCTGAGGGCGCTTTGGTGAGCATTATTGCGGCAATTTCTATAAGGTTCGATTTTAAACAAAAATTTACTTTATTAGCGGTTGTTGAACGAAAACAGTCAAGAGACAACAAGTCGAGAAATAATTGGCGAATTATCTTTCATCCACCAATTCATCGACATGCCCAACTATAATGGAACCACTTACAATCCACTGCAAAGGAAACTGGATAGGATACGGGGCTGTCAGCCAGCGATGGGATACAGTTTCGCTGCTGGCACCACAGATGGACCTGGCTCATTTAGTTTTGAACAGGGCACCGTTAGTGATAACGCGATGTGGAATGCTGTACGAGATTTCATAGTCGCTCCGACACAAGAGGATATCAGTTGTCACGCACCTAAACCAATCTTACTTGCAACTGGAAGGGTAGGTTCCCCTGGGGAAAAAACAAATATTTAATAATTTCATTATTTATTTTTTGCCTCAAGGCTACATTCCCATATGAGTGGCAACCTAAGATCGTATCCGCCCAGCTGCTAAAAATTGGTGATTTGATTTTCGCCGCGGTACCCGGCGAATTCACTACCATGGCAGGCCGACGTTTACGCAATAAAATTAGCGCCGTGGCTGTGGCCACAGGTGGCAAGGACACTGAAGTAATCATCGCAGGTTTGTCGAATATTTATTCCAGCTACATCACAACGCCTGAGGAGTACCAGGTGAGTGATGTAATTTTAAACCCACTATTATATACACACACATACATATGTATGTATGTATGTTTCGCTATTTTTCAGGCACAACGATATGAAGCTGCGTCCACGATCTTCGGCCCGAACACGCACACTATCTACATGGATGTCTTCGAGCAACTGACCAAGTCAATGATACGTGGCGAACGCTTATTCCCCGGCCCCTCTCCTCCATATATGAATGATCGTATGCTATCGATGAACACTGGCGTTATTTTTGACGGCCATCCGATTGGCAAGGACTTCGGACATGTTAAGTTGCAACCGCGAAAGGCGTACCAAATCAATGAAACTGTCAAAGTCACCTTCATTGCCGGCAATCCGCGCAATAATCTCTTCCACGAAAAAACGTACTTTGCTGTAGAGCGAAAAATCAACGAGGAACGTTGGAAGGTCGCATATACTGATGCCAGCTGGGAGACAAAGTAAATTTACACACATACGAGTTTTCGGCACAAGTGTATTTAGTTAATTTAAAATCTAAAATTTTAATATCTTTATGCATTCCTATAGATTCATTTGGGAACGCGTTCATTTGATACTCGGCTTCAGTGACATTCACATACACTGGACCATTGGCCCCAATACTCTTCCCGGCGAATACCGCATTCGGCACTTTGGCAACTACAAATATATCTTGGGCGGCATTTTCCCCTATGAAGGCATTTCGAATTCATTCATAGTTACGGAAGACTGATCGGCGTATATACTATGTATTTGTATGTACACACATGCAAACATACGATATGGAATGATTGGATAACTAGTCAGAGACTGCGCTCTTCAGGATGTAACTGCTTGTCAGCTATATACATACATACATATACATATCTAAAATTAATTAAAACGATTGGAAATTTAATGTGCTATTCTGTGCCATACACGATTCATATGTACCTACATATATATGTATTTTTTGCCTACTATTTAGTTGTGAATATGTAAAATAAAGTTTAAAAGAAAGGTAATAGAAAAGAACTGTTGCATTAAACCTTACACTAAATACGAATAAGCACTTCCGGCTAAAGTTTCCGGTTCGCCTCTTTGCCCGGTTAGTCACCCGCTAGATGTCGCCCTTAATAACTTGAGAAATGGGAGTAGAGAATCAAAAACGATGAGCGGTGTTCCACAGTTTGCTCACTTTCCACCAGTGCAGATTTTGTTGGAGCATTTGTACCTTTGTTCAATCTTTTTCAATTAAAAGGTAAATTAGGTACAATTTTATTATATTTGATACAATTTCAAAATGAAAGTAATTTTGAAAGTTACATCCAAATAAAGCTGTAATTTTACAGAGCAAATTCAGAGGAAGCTTTTACTTTTGTCACTGTAAAAAATCGTCAATGTGCATGGCCTTTCAACTGCGCATCTGCCACAAATTTACGGATAGATAACTGCAGAGTAAGCAGTGCGCGCTTCCACTCCACAATGCCTGTAGTGGTAAGCAGTGCGCGCTTCCACTCCACAATGCCTTGTCGGCCGCTGTGGTGTAGCGGTAAGCAGTGCGCGCTTCCACTCCACAATGCCTGGGTTCAAACCCTGGTCAAAGCAACATCGCAAAAATATAGAAAAAAGGTTTTTTCTTAACAGCGGTCGTCCCTCGGCAGGCAATGGCAAACCTCCGAGTGTATTTCTGCCATGAAAAACAGCTTCTCATAAAAATACAATCGCCGTTCGGAGTCGGCGTAAAACTGTAGGTCCCTCCGCTTTGTGTGACAACATCAAGGCGCACGCCACAAATCGGAGGAGAAGCTCGGCCAAACACTAACATATGTGTAAGCGCCAATCTATTATTATTATTAACTGCAGAGACCAAAGTCTATAGAGACCATAGTAGTATGCGGAGGTATTTTCTGTTCAGCCGCGTTTCGAAAAAATAACCATTATCAGTCCAACTCCGGTTACGCTACCAGCAGTATTTTGTTAACTCACTCCAATCTACAATGAGCTCTACTAAGCAAAGCGATATTTATTATGCAATTTCTAATCTTTCTGAACATGTCGCATGTTTAGTTTAGGGTTAATTGAAAAACCGGAGATGACGAAGGAATTCTGAGTCCATATTCGAATTGGAAGTGGCTAGCCTTAGGCCAAAACAAATGAAAAGTTGAAAATTTGTTGAGTAGTCTTATGCGTGAGGTATCTACACAACTTTTATTAAATGATTTGGCTCAAGGTATCTCCATCTTCCCTAAGCAAAGCTAAAACGATTTTAGTAAACGAATTCCTAATTTCAAGAGGTTGGCTGTTTATTTATATATTGAATATCTTCAGACTTAGCCCGACCAAGATCAGGCACCCGGGGGCTTTATCTAGGTAGAAGTTATAACTAAGCCATAAATCCTCAATATTTGACCTCGTCGGAACGTTTACCAATATCCAGCTCACAGTAGGAGTTCTTAGTCAGCATACTGTCGTTGATTTACCATATGAATTCCGTATAAATTACTGCGTAATTATGTAATTATTTGAACTTATTACTTTATTAAAATAAAGCAAATTCCTTAAAAATATAAAAATTTTATTCTATATGGATTACACTGGCCAACAAAACTTTAATAAGTTAATAACAGTTAATAAGAGCTGATTCTTATAGGATTTAGTACGCAGAATCAGATTCTGACCTTAGAAATTTCTGAAAATAACTGAGAAAATTTCATATTACAGTTACTAGCTGTTTATATTTTTTAAAACTTGTTTTTGTAGCTTACGTTTATAAAAGTCAAAATTTAACTTTTGTGCTAAAAGAGCAATGTTTAGCTATTTTTACATCTTATTCAAAAGATTCTACCAGATCCCTTATTCCATTATAGGTGTCTAAGAAAATGCCAAAACTTAGATGATTTTAAAGCGAAATATCTCAAAAACTGGAACCAATCTAATATTTCGAATTTCAGATTCTGAATCTACGGAAAAAATCCTATAAGGATCAGGGTTCAGTTTCCGTGGCTCAAACACTCTTTTGTTTTTAATTTTATTGACCTGTGTTATGAATGTATAAGGTACGCTTTCTGTAACGTACCTATTGGGTAAGTGCATGTATTTCAAAACCTCAACACTGTTCACCTATCGTTTCTAAAAACAGCGCGAGAGCGGATGTTGCAGAGTTGCATTCGACTATTAAATATTTTTTAAAACTGTCCCACCAACCTTTGTTATGGCCGATGGCAAGAATATATTTATTTTTTTAATTGCTTGGTAGTCGCCATTCATTGAAGAAATAATCTCAGTTGCTTACAAGTGCTTAATATTTCACAGTAGTCCCCTCAGGTTTTATCTCTGTTATTAAAACAGCTCTATTCATTTCACATTCATATATATGTGCATACATATGTGCATGTGGGTATGTATGTACACCCAAGTGTATGCATGTACATATCTGTGGTCATAAGCAATAATCGCCTGAGTCGAAACCCTGAATTCGGGAAAAAACGCTTTAAAGATTTGAATTGTAATATTAACCGTATGGGGAAACCAAAATATTTTCATTTATAACTTTTTAAATAGCCTAGACAACGATATGCGAGTTTCACATACACATGGAAAAGTAGTTGCAGACCACGATGGCATGTATAACTCAATTCTTTCTTAAGTCGACTTAGGCGGTTATTGCTTATGACAACAGATATTTCTCTTTCATTGAGGAAATGTGGGGAGTTCCGCTTCGCACCGGAGAGAATTTCGGTTTTTGAATTCACCATACATTAAATGTGTTTAGTGAATCTCTGCAACTTCAATAAAAGCCAGTGCGCGATGCGGCACACAGTCCAAGTGGAAATTAGTAAAAGATTCGTGGCCGGACCGTTTCCAACAAGTGCGCAATCACAGGAAAGGAAAATTTCACGCTTACGGAAAATTAAACATTTGCATCGATTTTGTGTGGGACGACAGTCCGTCGGCAATTTGTAGATTGCATTGAAGGGTGAATAAACGCGAGTGTGCTGAATGTGATAATAAGTACATACATACATAGTTATATTTTTTTGTGATCCAAGAGCATTCTTGAAATCGGAGGCAAATCTTCCACTTAACTTCGACAAAGTGCAACGCGTTAGCCAGAAGGCGATATCCAAACCAAAGATAACTACAGCAAGACCAGCGAACAGCGTGCAAGGAGAGCTACATTTGTACATAGAAGAAGAAAAGTGAGATTGAGAGCACAACGAAAGTCGAAGAAAGGAACCAAAACGTAATTTTAGGTACGAGAAAAGTATGTGTAAACAGAATTTATCCGGCGCGTTGTAGAAGCGAATAACACAATCAATGTAAACGCGAAAAAACAACTGCATATATACTTACATACATATGTATAGTATGTACATACATATATACATATAAAAAAGGGGCAAGTTCTAATCGATTTGTTTACGGAAATATTCTTTTACCTTTTGTTATCAAAAAATTATACAAACTTAAGCTTCGTCTATGTGAATTCAGTTCTCTTCCTCATTAGAAACGGAGTGCAATATTTGGCTGGTGGGCTGGATGACATCCCAAAAACATAAATAACAAAAACTGACTTATTAGCAGCGCTAGTGGTAAGTTTTGCATTCAAAAGACAATTACATCTCTGTAGATTCTTGCGCCTTATGTATGTATATATGGACATATGTATGTACGTTCATACCTTTCCAATAAAAAAAAGAGAAAACGAGGGGGTAAGGCCCTGTCTCCACAGGAAAACACTGATGTCGTGATAACCATGTCACAAAATATATTTCCCATGGAGACCGCCAATTTCTCATGGGCTGCAATATATGTACATATGTCAGCGCTTATTGCTTGACATCTATTGCAGGCAATTCGTTAGTTTGACAGCCATATTTTCATTTGAAAGAAAGGGTGCTGGTGGTAACATTGATGAAATTTAGATATTAAATCAAAATAAAAATCTGTTCCCTATTGGATTATTTATGATTACGTTTTAGGAAATTATTCAGCAAGTTTTTTTTTAAGATTTAAATGTTTTTAAACACCGAAATTGAGAGAATGTTGTCTGGTGGCGTCATGCGGCAAATGCTTATTTCAAGACATCAAAGTGCCCACACACAAAAACTTGCAATCACATTGCTCGTCAAAATGACAGTTGGTAGGCCATCGGTTTTTGCCTGTGGAGTTCTGCCGTAAACAGACATAAAAAATTGCTTAGCTCGAAAAAAACATATAAGTAGGTATATTTTATATATAAAAAAATAAAAATATTTCGACGAATTGTTAACCTGCTTCTTTTTTTTGAAGTCGGTTTAAAGTTAAAATCATATCCAGAAAAAACTGTTTGTAGTCAAACGAAAATAAGACATAGAATGTAAAAAACAATGTCGTAAAGGCAACAAAAACATCGTTTAAAGAAGCAGAATGAATATGTAGAAAAAGTCAGTCCGGCAGTCAGTCAGCGAAAATAGGGCATATCGTATATATAAACGGATCATTGCAACAGAGGATTATAAGGTGCATAATTTCCCCTAAAGGGGATGTCATTTGGTCACTGTGATCATCCGGCTTGGTACGTTTGGACTTTTAATGAGGCCACTCGGATGGCCGCATTTATGCGAATATGGCTCAAACTTTGGAGCACTTTATAATCAACATTTGTCCAGTTATAGGCAAAATACATATGCAAAGAAGTGGCCCAAAATATCTCAAAAATTAAAAGCTTGAAGGCAGTCCTGAAAGCTTTCGACCCACACATAGACAAAGTGACGTCCTCTATTATTTGCCGTAGCCTTTTGAACGATGATATGTGTAGTATACATATTTATAGAGAATTCCACTAATATGGTTGCCGGGGCGCACCAGAATATTGATGGCAATTGCACAGCTGACGAACTGACAACTGTTAGTGATCACACCATTATTGTAACCAAGAAACGCTGGAACAACTTGTATTTCTATAAAAGAAACGCTTACGGGCCACTTCCTACTTAATGTGGAATCAGAACCTGCCTTGACCTATGTATGTGACATGTAAGGGCGAGTCGAAAAAGTTACTAAATTGAAAAATAAATTACCAAATTACCAAATTTGATAAATAAAGAAAACAATTACAAATTTAAACGTGGCAACACTGGTCAACTTACTTTATAAAAAAATTATGAACTTTGGAACAGCAGCCTAAATCAGCAACACCAAAACAAAAATAAAAACATATGCTGAAGACTTTTACTTGCGAGACGATATTAGGCTACATTAATTGCACATGCCTGCGATATTTAATTTAATACATAGTTATCTTATTTTTTTTTAATACCCTCGTATGTCAAATTTAAACACATCTTTGGTATTTTTTTTAGCATATCGAGATTTTTTTTATTTTTGACATGTAGATATATTTTAGATTTTTTAGCATTTGCATGAAAAGGCAAAAGTTAATTAAGTTGGAATTGAATTTTTACTTTAAACCAACATTATTAGTTAAAAATACCCTTAAACAGAGTGAGTAAGTAAGTCAATCAGAAAAACTTATTTAATTTTGAGGTTAACGCTAAGAAAATTGATAAACGATTTTTTCTTAGCGTTAACGCGTATTACTAGCTTTAACTTCGAAATTACATAAGTTTGTATGAATTACTTAGTCTATTTACGGGTGTTTTTAACTAATACTGTTGGTTTTTAAGTAAAAATTCAATTCTAAATTAATTAGCTTTTGGCTTTACATGCAAATCGCTAAAAATTCTAAAATATACATGTCACCAATAAAACAATCTCGGCGTGCTAGAAAAAACCAAAGATGTATTTTAATTAAGCATACGTAGAAAATTATAATAATAACTAAATAAATAAAAAAAAATAAATAAAATAAATTTCGCAGGCCTGTGTTGTCGAAGGAGAAATAATGCCTTATGTGCTGCCTGCTTCTGAGTCGTATGAATTATAAATATTGATTAGTGATGTTTCGACCCCAGTACTTAAGATTATATGCTCGAGTAGCTCTACCGCGGTACGCGTGTACTTGGTTGGTATTGAGTAAGATATACAAGTATTTACTTGTTTGCAAAACTTTGTGAAAATGCAACTGAAAAAAGGTATGTATTGCCACAGCTTAAAATATGTTACACTAAGGGTATTCAGACTATACTCGTTATGGTCTTAATTCGGTATTCGGTAACTCCCACCATTGTTTTGATTTTGTAAATTCCGAATATATCATTACTAACTTAACGAAAGGCAAGTCTGGTAATGTGGTAACACACGCGTTAAAATGTCAGCCGCCTGTTTCTGAGTCCTTCCTGTCACTTATTTTCTGGAATTTTCCCGCGCCAAAAGTGCATACATTTTATCAAAAAGTTCAATAAACATTTCTGTCGGGAAATTAATAAAAGTTTATAAATAAAAGAAAAAGAATAAGGGGCGTTCGAAGTTGAAAGTGTCACCGAGTTACCAGATAACGAATTAATACAATAACGCGGAAAGTCTGAATACTTTTGATTTGAGAAAAAAATAAAAACAAAACATGCCAAGAAATTCCTGCCGCTTGTGCAAAAGCACACATAACGTTGCCGTACTGATGTTTTCAGTCCCTCAGGATGAGGACCTAAACCGAAATCAGGCAGAGGTGTGCAACAAAACCAAAGGTCAATGCCAGAATTGAAAAAAAACCAGGACCGTAAATAGCAGTTATTTTTTTCTAATAGTCAAATTTGGCCAGATAATTTTTAGGTTCGAAATAAAAGTCTTTCCGGATAGTAAACAAACCGCTTCTCCAAATTACACAAATTTGGTACCAAATGAAAGAGGATTTAAATAGCTTTTATTTTTTTTTTTATAGTTTAATACAAAAGAAATGCATATACCTGACCCAAGGTATGTTCTATGGTAATTAAAAAACATTTTTATTTAAATATTTTCCTCGTTTATATATTTCAATTTTAAAGCTATTTTAGTCCTCTTTCGGTTGATACAAAACTTGTTTAATTTGGATAAGCGGCTCGTTTATTATTAGGAAATTACTTTTATTTTCGACTTAAAAATATCTGGCCAAGTTTAGCTGTTGAAAATAAAGTAACTGTTGTTTACGGTCCCTGGAAAAAAAGCGAAAATGACGAACTCAAATTTTGCTTTGAAATAAGCGTACATCCTTTATATTATTTCACTTTAGTTATAAGCCATGTGAATCAATTTTGGAAATTGCTGTTTAAAATCTGCCCAAATTTCCAAAGGGTCAATATCATATCAATTAATATCCTTTTGTAGACGGTTTTTTGGCACTAAACGTTTCTACAAATAAATTAGCAATTTATTAGTGCAAATAACTCATACCTTTTGCATAATATTAATGGAATGTATGTTCTAATAGTACATAAATAGTGAAATTTCCACATTTAGAATAGTTACTAGAGCATAGAGTTTGGAAGCATACAAACTAATTTTAATTTGTACAGTGTACATTGCACCAAAAGTCGATGCATCGAAAAAAAAATAAACCGATATATCGATATATATATCGGAAGGTCCAAAACATCGGTTTCATTCGATGCATCGAATAGCAAACATCGATGTTTCTGATGCATCGATATTTTTTCTGCATCACTAGTTCAGACTCGTATGAATAATATGCTGTCAAAATTACTTGCAAAAAACGTGTGTAGTTTCCAGTTTCTTGTTTATAAATTAAAAACTCTTTTTTTTCAAAAAAGAAAGTGAGTTTCAACGAAACCAAAATACTATTATAAAAAACAAGCCTTAAATTTTTTATGTCGGTATGGAAAAAAACGTAAAAACGTGCTTAATACTTACTAGTTCATTTACTTTTAATAAAAAATTCATCTGAGAAAAGTATTTTCGAAAAAAAATATGAAAATGGATATCTTATATAAATTCGCCTTGAAGGAACGAATTGAATAGGGCCGAAAAGAATTCGAGAAGTCTAATTATTTCTTTAAAAAAATGTACGATGCCGATAAATTTTAAAGCGAAGCATGTAGAAGAGTAGAAATTACAATTTTAATGATAAGAAGACAAGTAGTCTTTAGGAAACAAATTAAAAACAAATTAGGTATTTTCTTGGCGTAAAACTTCTGGAATATACAGTATCTCAACTTGCGGATGTTATGTCTTGTTTTCTCATGCACCGATAATAAATTCTATGCACATATATTGTACAAGCATAATTATGTATGTACATTAGGGTGGTCCAAAAAGAGTAAAATCGGAATTGTAATGCTCCAACTCCAACCCCCTAGGATTGGGCCATATTGAAAAAAAGTATACCACTATTTTTTTTTGTTTTGAAATCAGAAAATATTTAGAGGTCGCTCAAAGCGCTCAAAGTTTCCCATGCAATTTTATATGGGAAAAATAAAATTTCTCGTAGAAGTGGTATAGAATTCTTGAAAAACTATATTTTTAGATCCGAAAACTCTGGTTCTCTTCAGGATACTTTCGATTATAATATTTAATTGTTTATTTAATCTTATTTTAAAACTAACGATTTTTTATTGGTCGCCCCATTGCATTTTGCGGGATTTCTGTAGGTTTTTGGCGGACCTATAAATTATAGTTGCGATGAAATAATGGTTAAATGAACAATTATTATTGGGAATCTCGTGCAAAAAAAAAACATAGTTGTCTGGTAGAAAAATATTGATTTTTAACTATTCTATACCATTTCTATGAAAAGTTGTCTTTTTCCATGGAAAACTTTGGGCGCTTTGAGCGACTTATAAATATTTTTGATTTCAAAATAAAAAAATAAGGGCAAATTTTTTCGGTATAGAATAATCCTAAGTGGTGAGAGCATAAAATTTCCGACTTTACTTTTTCACATATATATATTTATGTACTCACATATGTACACTAACTAGCTATTAATGAGCTTATTTAAAAACTCAAACTAGGAAATATAATACATACATATGTACATATTATTCTTTTAGGTCGCTTTTGGTGTCCCAATAATAGTCTCCATTCCAACTGCATACATGCATACATACATATGTACGTACGTATAATGTATAAGTTAAATTAATAAATTAAGAATGAAAAAGTGAAAAATATATTGTACTCGTATTTGTATTTGAACTCATTTATTTTAGTATGTATATGTATGTAAATATGTATACACATATGTACATACTTTGGTTCATACAAATTTGAATTATGCATGCCTAAAATGATAAACTAATCACCCAAGATTCCAGCCGGAGAGTCAGCCGGCTTTTTTCAACTTCAGAACAGACGCAACCAAAGCGTTGCTCTAATTATAATCATTTGTTCGGCCTTAAACACGATCAGCTTTGCCTGGGCATGCCTGCACAATCAGAACTCGAATATTCCGAAACTCAACTTGCCATAGACGCTATAGAAAAGTGTATGTACATATGTACATATTTATATGCACATACATAAGCATGTATATTAAAGCTTTCTACCATACATACATACATAAGTACATACAATGTTGACTTTATGGAACAAATAGACGAATTGTGTTTGATTTTCGTTCCTTTACAAACAGAAACATGACGACTGTTTGTTAGGGATGTAACATCGTTCATAAGTGAAAACGTCGATGTTTGAAAAAGTCGATGTTCCCACAAAAACAATCGATGTTAAAAAACCTCGGTTAAAAAAACGATACAACATCAAAATTTACATATCCCAGCGGTTTTAATAAAATTAATTTAAAAAAGAAAACATATTTTTTCAATTGAAAAATGCACATTTTAATATACACTTACCATGTTTATGTGATGCTTCAATTCGTTCTATGTCAAACATTGTTTTGAAAATATCGATGCTTCGTTTGCATCCCTACTTTTGGTGAATTGCGTTGCGGAAGCTGAGATGAATGTCACCACAGTCACGTTCATATATGCATACATATGTATATATAAATAATAATATACATACATACATACATACGTATAATGCACATATTCGATCAAACCAAAAAATAATTCCCTTCCCGGTGTGAAATAAAACAGCTGCTCAAATGTCAGCCCTAAATAAAAATATTTCTTTCGAGAATGGTTGAAGGAAAACTTATGAAAATTTCAAGTCTCATAGAAAACTAAATGCTCTACGAAGAAGGTTTATCAAACTTGCAATCTAAGCCGTAAAATAAAAAAAAAAAATTGTTATTCACTCAAATTTATGTTATAAATTCTTAGACAAAAACAATAGGACTCTTCAGGATCTTGGGCATATGATCTTGCATTTGCATATTTCGATGCATTTGTAAATTCTCAACAATAAAATGCAAACGGTTGCCATGGTAGCAAGCATAAGGTCTGCAAATGCAAATGCAAGCCCATTTGCACAATATCCTGAACAGAGCTTTTGTTAGCGCCATAATACGCAGCGTTAGCAGCAGAGGCTCTCGGCTGAAAATGGATTAAGTAACTCTGCGGCTGTGATTGCCAGCTCGAATATATTTTAACATTCTCGTTAATGTTGACGTATTTATCATATATTTAATTTTCATAGTTTTCCATAAAAAATTTTGTAAGCTTACGTGCTTGAAGGTATTTACCCGTTGAGATGAATTGCCCTAATATAAAAGAGTTATGAGGAAACCCCGATTAGCTGTCTATATGATCTTACATACTCCTTATATATGTACACGCATGCATGTGCAATTTTCCTTTCCATATATATAAATTTATAATATATTTATGCTAGTTTTCAAATATATGTATGAACATGTATATGTATATGTTGAATAGGATGCAGCACTCTCCAAACAAAAAAAAGTTACTGTTTTTCATCGGCAATATAAAGTGTATTATATTTTAGGACTTCCGCCAAAATATTTCGAAAACTGCGGGACCTATTTGAAAATAGTTCCAAATAGCAAGTTTGTTAGAAATAAATTTCGTTTCTACCAAAAATGTTTCCCTTTCAATGAGGAGGCAACATTTTTTGTAGAAACAAAAACGCCATTAGATTTAAAAAAATATTTTTTTATTAAAAACAACATCAGATGATAAAAGAGTTTAAAAATAATGTTTAAAAATTTTATCAACGGAACGAGATTTTTTTAGGTAGTCTCAAATCAGTCTGCATATATCTGTATTATTTTTCCGACGTATTTTTTTTATAAGTCCGGCGAAAACCGCAACTTTTTTGACGCTGCACCTTAGTTTATTTTACATGCATATCGTTGTTTAAAGTACAAAACGCGTACCAAGATGATACAAAACCGCGTACGTGAGGTTGCAATTATTATTTTTTAGAGAGTAAAAACACTCATATTTCAAAATTGTTCCCTTTTTTAAAAAACAATCGCATTTCTGGCTATTATATTTGAGAACGAATGGATAAGGATTGAGCCAAGAGCTTGTTTGAGCAAATCCAATTTTTGGCTGCAAATGTTAGTTATGCGGCTTTGCAGAATGACGATACGTGGTTTTGTACTTGAAACGACGATATATGTATGTATACATATCGCCGGTTATTTAATGTTCAGCTTCGCCAGAACTTAAACTTCTTTACTTGTTAATTTTTAAATTAGTTTTTTTCTGGCATTTAGGCAAGATCATTAGATGCGCATTAATTTTAACATCTGGCAAGTAATATCAAACCATCTTAAGCTTGATAAAAAATTGCATATTTCTTTGAAAACTATTAGAAAGGGAGAAAAATTCATTCTGAGGTACAAATGTATTTGGGTATGCAAGCTCGTAGTAAATGTTGGGTATCTGTCCTAGGGTTAAACAACGATATGTGTAGATCTCTGCATTCCTAGTCGTTAATATTCAACATTCGTTTGATGCATAGTGGGCCCCTGTGAGAGTTTTTTTTTGTGTAAAATTAAGTGATCTGCATACAGAAATACATATGTAGATACATATATTCACTTCAACGTAGCAGAGCTACAAAAGCACGTCTATGTACAGTAGGAAATAGCGAAGCTGCCAGTGGTCTTCTGCCAAGAAAAAGCTTCCCTCGATGGGGGTTACCTGCAAGATTTGTACACATGTACATTAGGGTGCTCATCAAAAAACTCTTTTTGGAAATTTCAAAATATTACCTCCTCATTTTATTCGTTTTTATATGAAATATTATTATTTTTTTTTATACATTTTTTAAAGGTCATTTAGAGGTCGCGACCTGTCGATTTAGGTCAGAAAATACGATTTCGTAGATTTATGAGTTTTTGAATGACTATTTTTGATGCGATTTCAAAGATCGAATATGATCTGAGGTTTTATGCGATTGCAATAAATGAGGTATCAGTTTATATGAAAATAGATTTAATTTTAGATAGTACTCTATATTTTGAAATTGTTGAAATAATCGATGGTCAAAATTTAAAAAATTAAGAGAAATAAAATAATAAAAAATTCCAACAAGCCTCGCTCGATAATAGATTATTACATACCATTTTAAAAGCCTATATATCTTCTTGTCAGATCATATTCGATCTTTAAAATCGAATCAAAATTAGACATTCAAAAACTCATAAATCTACAAAATCCTATTTTCCGTCTTAAATCGACAGGTCGTGACCCCTAAATGAACTTTAAAAATCTATAAAAATAAGCGATCATATTTTCCATAAAAACGAATAAAATAAGAGGGTCGGGTCTTGAAAATTCCAAAAAAGGATTTTCGATGGGCACCCCAATGTACATATATATGTATGTATGTAAATATGTTGTATATTATATAATTATAAGTGTAAAAACTTTGCTTCATTTAAAGTTAGTGTCAGATCACTTTGCAAGTTCCATTCGAATCATTGGTGTTCTAGCGATAATACTATCAACAAGTTGAAATCTCACAGAGGTTTTTATTAGAATGCCAGTTGCAGCATGATACATACACTTGTACGTACCCTGCAAGGAAACCACGTACTAGTGAATCAAATTTCTAGTGTCGTACTAGGTCTTTATCGCCAAAAAAGAACTAGTCCGATAGGAGCTAGATCCCCACCAGTCAAAAAACGGCGAAAAGTGGTACTTTTAAAAAACTAATTTTTTCAGTTTTTTTCACTAGAAATCTATATCTAAGGTGACGAATTTTGAACTGGTTCGGAACTATAAAAAAGAGATACAGAACGAACTAGATCCTATTTGTCGAATTTAGAACTAGTTTGGAACTATCGAAAAAGGGATGCAGCAGGGGGCTTGTTCACTTTACATAGATATGTGTTCGGCAGCTTTTTCTTTCAAATACGCTTCTATTCTGCATTTCGCAGATGCTTTTTCATAGCTTGGTAATACAAAACCACAATTTGTGTTAACAACATCTTGGGATCTTGGGACCGTCTGGAATCAAAGAAATAACAGCGAGCACCTCTGCAAACTCAGCTACAGCTAAAGGTATGTAAACGTACATTTCTTACAATCATTCAAACAAATTTAATTTCAAATTGAAAACACATTTCTTCCAAAATAACTTAAAATCGCACACACTGAAAAACCAAAAAGACTTAAAAATCATGATACTTTTTTCTTTCGTCTGTCGATTTTAGAACTGGTTCGGAACTGTAGAATTTAGAACTAGTTCGAACCTATCGAAAAAGAGATGCAGGGGGGGGGGGCAATAGACACTTCCTAGGACATCGCCATGTTAAATTCGCCAGTTGTTTGCATGTAAAAGAGATTTATCGCGAACCAGTACTGGGTCTAAATGTACTAGAAGCGCCCCAGTTCAGAACTAGAGATTTTCCCCACAAGGTATGTACATATGTACATATATACGTGCGTATGTATATACAATGAATTCATGTACATATATTATGTATGTGATCATGTGTTTATTAGTATTGCTGTTCGTTGTTCTACACATATATCAGTTTTGTTTATTCAAACAGGAAAGCATACATATATGTATTATGTACATACCTTAGTGCGGATCGAAAATTTAATTGTTCTCAAATCCTTTGGTAATAGTGAAAATATAATGTATTATGGGGGCAAGAACAAGCCTGTAAAATATTAATCCTTTTTTTTAATCTTTAAGTCGCTGTTTCCAA